TTTTTAAAACAGTGGCTGGAAACAAATATTAAAAAATAATAATAGCTGTTAATTTTAAGGTGAAAATGTATTTTACATTCTCCTTTACAGTTTTCCATGAACTTTCAATGTCTAACTTAAAAAAAAAAAAAAAAACAAAACAAAACCTAAAAATAAAAGAATTTTTTTTAAAAATAAAGGAATTTAGCTCGACCTCAGTATACATTAAGCACTTAAATTCTATTATCTACTTATTCTTTTCAGTCAAGCATAGATCTTTTCTGTTACCTAATAAGAAATACTAATAAAATTGCTTGTACTCACTCCAATTTAAGTTATACAACTTATAAATGCCTTTAAACAAAATATTGCTTATTCAGCCAGCTTAAAATTACACTGGTAGAGCAAATGCAGGTCTGGGTGCCAAAATACAAAGATTAACAGTAACAACAACAAAAATCAAGCACCAAAGAAAGTTCCTATCTAGATGCAATAAAAATGGGGTAAACTCTGTAAAACTAAAACTGCCATAAAAATAAAGAATAAATAAATAAATGAATACTCCCCCACCACCCCCCAAAATGAAGTAAAGCCAGAAAAGTTTCACACTTTGGAAACAGGGTGTGAAACATTATGCTAGTTAAACTTAGACCTTGCTTTTGTGGAAGCAGCAACAACACTCCTCCTTGATTTTAAATTTACAGATTATCAGACATGCATTTCATTCAAGCTGGATTTATTTTTAACTTTTTACAGGAAAGAGACAATAAATTGTCAATACTGATGGATCTTGGACATGACCTGGGTCATCTTGGACGTGACTGGCGCCATTTTACACACACTCAACACAAAATGGCTGCCAGCTTTTCCCTTAGGAGAAACCTCGGGGTTTCTAAGAGATAGAAACTCCTCTACTTCTGCATGGGTGCAACCTTCCACCTGATTGCATTAGCCAGCCTTACCTTCTACACCAGCACCGAACCCTTCCCTGATTACATCAGCCTTCCTTACAGCCTATATAAGCCCTCCCATCCCAACACTGGCTGCTGCTCTCCATTTTCAGTGCAGCCCAGCAGTTTCTTTTCCTTTAATAAAGCTTGATCAGTACCCAGCATTTTGGCTCACTTTCTTTNCCCTTTTAAATTGTACAATCTATTGTTTTTCAGTGTATTCACAAGGCTGTGCAATCATCATTATTTAATTTTAGAACATTTTCATCACCGCAGAAAGAAATCCTCTATCCATTAGCTGTTACTCACCATTCCCCTTTTCCCCCATCCCCTGGAAACCACTAATCTACTCTTTGTCTGTATACATTTGCCTATTCTGGACATTTCATATAAATGGAATCATATAATATGTAGCCTTTTGTGTCTGGCTTTTTTTACTTAGCAGTATGTTTTCAAAGTTCAGCCATGTTGTAACGTATCAATACTTCACTCCTTTTTACAGCTAAGTAGATATTTATTCCATTGTATAGCTATATCACGTTTGTTTATTCATTCATAAGTTGATGGACATTTGGGTTTTTTCTACTTTCGGGCTGTTTTGAATAATGCTACAGTGAATATTGTGTTCAAGTTAATGTGTTAATGTTTTCAGTTCTTTTGGTTATACGCCCAGGAGTAGAATTGCTGGGTCAATTTGGTAACTCTACATTTAACTTTTCAAGGAACTCCGAACTGTTTTTCAAAGCAGCTGTACCATTTTACGTTTCCACCAGCAATACATGAGGGTTCTTATTTCTCACATTTTCCCATGTGTTACTGTCACTTCTGCTGCCCTCTCACTCTTCTGCCAAGTCTACCATAAATAAGTCAAGAGAGGAATGTGTTTGTACATATGAATGTGTGTGTGTCCTGACTACATCTCAAAGTGACAAAGTCACAAAAAGCCTTTGGGAACATACTTTAAAATACTGACTGAATTGAAGGTTCTTAAACATTTAATTGATCTCCAGCCTTATTATAAATAAAAACAGAAACCATCTAGCAAATGTTTGTAATGTATCAAGCAGTATGCTAAGCATTTTTTTTTATATTAACTCATTTAAGTCTCACAAGGACCTTGTGAAATAAATATTATTATGCTCATTTTAAAGTACAGGAAAGTGAGACATATCGCTTAAAAAGCTTGATCTAGGTCACACAGCAATAAGTCACAGAGCTAGGGTTCAGACCAGAGAGTGACCAACTCCAAAGCCTATGTCTGCTTTTAAGCAAGTGGTTCTCAAAGTGTGGTCCCCTGGCCAGCAGCATCAGCATCACCTGGGAATTGGTCAGAAATGCAGATTTTCAAGGCCTACTCCAGACCTTCCAAATCAGAGACTCTGGAGATGGGGCCCCCCACAATCTGTTTTAACAAGCCCTACTGATGATTCTGATGAATGCTAAAGTCTGAAAACCACCACCCTAGAACATACTGACTCTCTTTGCATTATTACATACCAATCTCATCTACAAGAAGAGACAAGAGAATGCCTACCTGAAAAGTAAATTTGGGGCTGGCCAGTTGGCTCAGTTGGTTATAGTGTGGTGTTATTACACCAAGGTCAAGGTTTCATATCCCCATAATAGCCAGCCAAAAAAAAAAAAAGAAAAAGTAAATTTGGACCCTTGGGAGTAAAAAAATGGGTTTTATACCTAAGAATAAGGCAGAATTAAATTTAGGTCTATATTCTAATTCCAGCTGTACCACTCACTTGCTATGTGATCACAAGTCAGTTGATTAACTTTCTCCACTTCAGTTTTTTCATTGATAAAAATAAAGGAGAGCTGGCTGGTTAGCTCACTCACTCAGTAGACTGTGGTGCTGCTAACACCAAGATCAAGGGTTTGGCTCCTCATACCTGCCAGTCTCAAAAAAAAAAAACAAAACAAAACCTAAAAATAAAAGAATTTTTTTTAAAAATAA